GTACTGTTGCCGAGAGAGGCATTGCTGTAAAGGCTGGTGTCAAGAGGGGTGTTGTCTTGCATGGGATAGTCGAGAGAGGTACTGCCCTGGGTGCAGTCGTCGAGAGCGGTGATTCTTTGAAAACCATTGGTGGTCATGTTAATGTTCTGCATATCATCGGCAGCAAAGAGAGTGTCCTGGGGATTGCTCTGCATAAACCCATTATCCTGAGGTCCCAGGCTGAGGAAGTCATTGCTTTGAGGGTTAAAGTTGCTCAAGGCGTCACCCTGGAATTCGTTATCCATCATTGTCCCGACAGGATACCAGTTGCTCTGCATGCCGTTGTCCTGCATGTCGTAGTTGTTAAGAGGAGCCCCTTGAAAGTCCATAGACATAGTAGGAGTATTGTCGGTCTGAGCGTATGGTTGATAGGCCCATTGGCCTGGAGGAAGTGAGCTGTTGTTCATGTCGAGTGCACTAACCATGTTGTCAGTGTTCGTAGCGTTTCCATCCTTAGGCAGAGATTTTTCATCCATGGTATTGCTGAGAGCCATAGAACTGTTGTTGTTGATATGATTGCCAACATCCATAGTATTGTTGACATCAGTAGTGTTGACATGGTCGATTGCGCCTCCAGCATCGGCACTTTCACCGATATTGGTTGGAGTTTCAACTGGAACGCTATTGATGTTGATGGGGCCACTTGTGTCGGCATTGATACTGTCGTTTTGGTTGTCGTTGATCGGAGTAGGGGCTTCGGCCGTGTCACCAGTCGCCTCACCAGTCGCCTCACCGACAGCAGCAGCGGTAGCGGCAGCGGGAGTGGTATCGGCGTGGATTACATCGTCAGGACAGACCATGTTGATGAATTCTGTGAGGTCCATCTCAGGCGGGTTCAGGCCCTGAGACTCTGCTTCCTGTATTTCACGATCTTTGGCCTCGATGGCAGCCATGATTGCTTGAACCCCTTTCTCCTTCTTCGGTTTGTCCAAATTCGACAGTCGCTAGACACAACATGTTAGTAAGTTCCTAGGACATCGGAATCGTAAGCACTATATGTAACTCACATTGCTTTCAGAGTTTCGAGCTGAATGTTCTGCGCTTCTGATGTCCTTAATTTCCTTCGTTTGCTTTGATTCGGCCTTGCAGACTTTATCATTCATATCTTGTAACATTTTGTTCTTGTAGTCCTGGTGGACGGCATTCCATGCTCCAGCGTTGGCGCCAAGGGAGATAGCCTTGAGGCGCCACCAGTTCATTTGGAGTTGTAACTTTGCCATCATTTCCCTGCGGTTTTTCTCTTTCTCATCCCGTCGATCACGAGTTCTCCTGGCAGCTAAGTTGTTGCGTGCAAGAGAGACATCCTTCTGTCTTTTGAGAATAACAACGTTCTTCTGTTTCAGGACTTCCTTTAGACGAGCGTCTTGAACTCCGGGTGGCATCAAGTATAGACCACCAACAAATGGCTTGGGAGGCAGCTTAGGGAGAGCAGAGAGCGGGGGGATGGGAATGTTTTGAGCCTGAGTCTGATGCTTAATCTCGGCCACAATCGTCTTGAAGCGACCATCAACATCGTCCTTGGGAAGAGCAGGATCGGGACCCAAGCCAGCTTCGCTAAGCGTGACACCCCCGAAGCGTATTTTGTGAGCACGAGGGTCCATAGAGCTAGCTTCATACTCCGCCTGAAGCTGGGGGTCAATCGGAGGGTCACTGTCTGCCTGTTGATCATCCGCGCCCATCTCAGAAGATGGGCCGCCGGACAGGCTCACAAGAGCTTGAAGATTTTCAGATACTGGATCCGTCTCTTGTTCAGGCGCGGCTGGGTTAGCAGCAGTACCCTGGTTTTCAGCAGCTTGTCGAGCACCACCAGCAGCATGGAGTCTTTTCCATTCGTTGATAGCCAGGTCAATAATTCCCTGGACAACAAACGGTTTAAGAGTGCTTTCTTTTCCGTATCTATCTCTGTGGAATTGCTTGAATGCTTCAGAGAATCCAGGGACTTCCCACCATGCACCAGGGATGGGGTCAGTACGGGGTGCCTGGAACTGAAGTTGCTGAGCCGGCTGATGGGGCGGTAGATCGATCGTAGAAGCAGGTGCTTGGATCCCAGATTGAGGAGACTGAGATGGCTGTAGAGTGGCTGTAGAAGGAGATGCTTGGATCTCAGGTTGGGCGGACTGAGAGACCTGAAGAGCAACCGTAGAAGGTACTTGGATTTCGGGTTGGGTAGACTGAGATGCTTGGATCTCAGGTTGGGTAGGCTGAGGCGCCTGTTGGGCAACCGTAGAAGGGGGTGCTTGGATCTGGGATTGAGCAGGCTGGGAGACCTGAAGAGCGGGCTTCTTGGTAGCAGGACCCTCTTGGGAAGCTGAAGGCTCGACACTGTCAATAGATCGCTTCAGAGACTTTCTCGGCTGCTTGGCCTTCTGAGAAGGGGGTGCCTGAGTCTGAGATTGTTGAGTCTGCTGAGATGCCTGTAGAGCGACTGTAGAAGGAAGTGCCTGGATCTCAGGTTGAGTAGGCTGAGATACTTGCAGAGCGGGTTTCTTGGTAGCAGGACCCTCTTGGGAAGTTGAAGGTTCGACACTGTCGATAGATCGCTTCAGGGATTTTCTTGGTTGTCTGGCCTTCTGAGAAGGAGGTGCTACGGTTTGAGGTTGCTGAACCTGTTGGGGTCCCTGTGGAATAGACAACTGAAATGTTGAAGCTTGCCCTTGAGCCTTCTTAGGCTGTCTTCTTCTGGGCTTCTTAGCAGGGGGCGCTCCCGCCTGAGGTTGTTGAGACTGTTCAGCGACTGATATAGTAGGCAAATGGAGAGTAGTTGATGTCTGAGCTGCTTGGGGTCCAGCAGCCTTTGGGAAGCTAGTACCAAAAGCTCGGATAGATGCAATGGCTTCTTCTGCAGACCCAGGTGATAGTTGCACTTGAGACAACGGGCGTGCAGGTTGAAGAGGCTTCAAGGGAAGTCCTTCAGACATGGTGTCTTCGGGACGCGAAACCGCGTGGGGAATTAAATAGAAGTGGTTTATGATGTGAAAGTGATTCTGTGATCAGAGTATTGTGTAGTGATTAAGAGCAGATGTGACTTGCGGCAGTGAATAGCTGCACAAGTCATGGGTGGGAAATGTGGTAGTGCAGTGATGCAATGATGTGGTTCAAGGAGATGAAATCGCAAAGCATGAGATGCTCGTGATTGGAAGAGAGATAAAAAGAAGATGATCCAAACCGTAGAAGTGTGTTGTGGTAAGAAAGAAGTTTGGGTTTGTGAGAGTGATGTTGTGATGGGAGGAGATGAGAGAGGAGAAAGGAAGAGATGGGGAGAACGAAGTGGGTGGAGCAACCAAGAAGGCAGAGCAACAAACGCAGCGAAGCGGACCTCGAAATGCCAGTGTCAGTAGAAATAGCGGGCTATGCAGTCGAGACAAGCCAGTGAGTTGCCTAGATGGAAATCTTGCAGTGGCATAGGGGCATTATGAGCTAATGCACTTGGTCACTGCGAGGTATAGTCCGCCTACTACAGTGGAGGCACGCGTATACAGACAGTTTAGAGGTATCAGACGCGCCTGGAGACGTGATCAAGAAAGGAAAACGTCACGGGCAGAGCAACAGGTTATATCCCATCCGATGCAATGGAAGCCATACGCTGCATTTTTGTTTGGCAGCCCACGTGAGCATATCCATACGTCTTTTGACAACATTCTCTAAATAAGCGATCCTGAGCATGCCCTACTATGTATCTATATCGAATATATAATATTTCACAAGTGATGCATGCCTATGAAGCTATATCATCGAGTGTCTGGCGGACCCTATGCGTTGAAGTCGAGAGTGGAGTTCCATATCCTGGCACTGCAGAGCCTCTATCCCCCACATCAAGTTGATATGCATGGAAATAAACGGCCAATCGCCTGGGTGAAGAAAACACATGACGTGGTTACTCGCGAGGGTGCACGAGGCGTAACATGCCAGGAAAACAACTGCAGCAAGAATGCACTCTGAGAGTTGTTTATATATTTCAAGCTGTTACCCTTATTGCAGAACTATCGAAAAGAGAAATCACCGGTGAGTCATTCGTTATTATTTCTTTTGTCGATGTCTTAATTCGTCTTGGTGGTTTACCCCCCCAACTCGCCAACTCGCCCCATTATCGGCATTCGCTAGTGTCCAAGCTTCCAAAACCCAACCCGGAGGGCCTCTTATATCGTGTCTTCATCGTCAGTGTTTTTTTGGAGTCGCATCGATCGTTTCGCTTCATCACAGCTAACTCGTATCATGGTTCGTGTCCTAGGCAGTGGCCGTATCGATGGCATTCGTCAAAACAGCTCGCCGAACCGTTGACCTATCAAGAAAAAAGCAACATATAAACAATGCCACAGCATCTAGGTACGTCGGGATGCATTTTCGAAAGCACCGGACTGTCCTGTGTCGATGGACGTGAATAGGGGTTACTGTTGGCTTTGGCCGTCAGCAGTGTCGTTGGTGATGCACCTACATTAACAAGAAGGAGAAAAAGTCTTTGGGAGCCGACCAAGAGGACGAAATGATCCATCCAGGGCAATCTACTGAGGTTGGCATGTTCGCTCGTTAAGTCGTTGTCTTACTGAACATACTTGTTCAGCATCCCCCTTCACTCTATATTCGCGCCCTTTGTTTGAACATCACCCAGCACTCACTCACATACAACTAGCATTGATCTCATTGCTAACCTCTTACTTTACCAGTCACCCTACCGTCATCGATCGCGAACCATCCTGAGAAAGACACGATTCGTCAAGAACTCAAAAAGATTAATAGGAATCGAATTTCCACATGCCAAAAGACTTGGCTTTTCGACAACACATCGCTGTCCGCTTCATGGTATCTAAAAGCACCGTGCCGCTCCCATACTCAAGTCATGTCTCGAGTCCATCAAGGCCGTTATCCACCCGAAAGAGAGTGTCCCAATACGCCGCCGCGAATACGTTGCCCCCTTTTTCCAAATCCCTATGGCTTGCTTGCCGTTATCTTGACCAGAGCCCTGCTCACAATGCCAATCCTGTTCCGTCCTTTGTCCATCGATAAACCGCCAAAAGCTCCCTTCGCCGTTGTTGCTGCTCTCCCAGATCTTCAGGTACACGACCTCGAACCTGAGCAAGAGCGCTACGCATAACTTTGCTGAATTTTCGCTGTCCATTGTTAGTCTTTGCGCTGAGACCCCGATTTCTTGAGAGGTACTTACCTGATATTCTGTACTTAGAGTGACAACACATGCTTCGTGAGCCCGCACGATTGTCTCGCATGCTTTTGCAACACTTGGCGATGCCTCCGACTGCAGCTTATCCGCAATGAGCAGCAACAAGAACGACCCTTGAAGAAGATATATACCGAAGAAGAACGGCATGAACTCGAGTCCAGGATCGAATTCAAGAATCTGGTTGATCGCTTCAGCCGCAGCAACAGCATGGCTCGTCGATGTGATGAATCCCTGCGATGAGATCCACAAGTCCTCATCATCCAGCAAGTTGATGGGATCCCATTTCCCAGCCAATAGAATATGCAAGACGTGCATAACATGAGTTCCATATGCAATAACGATTCGAGTCTGTATATTGCTCTCGGTGAGGCGATTCGACCCGTTTGTGTGTACTGAGTGGACTGATGGTGTGTTGGCATCAGGAACCCCTGAGCGCTCGTTGCCCTCATTCTGAGCATCGATTCTTTCCTCCACTGGTCGGGGCAGGTTCTTGTGCTCGAAAGCCTGCAAGCTCTGCTCATATATTTCCAGATGTCGAGTAATTTCTGCGGTCTGCGCATTCCACTCGTGGCCTTGACGAAAGCCGGTTCCGAAACGAGGGTGATTCTTTGCGTGGTGTAAGTCGACAATTTCACCCAGGATTGTCATGAGAGGGAGGAAATATCCAAATATACTGTGGCCTCGGCACTCGTATTGAGGACCATGGGCTTGTGTCATGTCGGTGCCATAACCTTCTGGACTCGTTCCCAATAAATTGGGATCTGTGGTTGAATTCGAGTGGCCGCTGAAATCGCCGCTCTGCCATCGGGCATCGTCCATGGGTTGCAACAAACCCTGGCACTCTATATCAAGCAGAAATAGGGGGCGATTGTAACACAATGCCAAATGTCTGTCGACGATGTAAAGGAGCCACCATATTCGGCGTCGCTCCTCACGTTCTTCCTCGCCTACATATCCGTTACCACTAATACCGCCTTCTCCATCATCTGCGGTGTCAGTGTCCATGTTCTCTTGGGTCGCAGGTGAAGGCCCAGGGGGAAGCTCGCGACCCAGCTTCAGCTCACGAGCAAGGCCCCAAGCAGCGGTCCACCATCTCATACTTGCGCCTTTGTATTCGCTAGCAGAGACGACGACCGCCAAATGAATGTAAGTTATCACGTCGTCAAGACTACCTGCGGCACCAAATGGCCCTGATTCGCCACTTGTAGCATCAAGGCTAATTGAGCCGGGCATGGCCACACCCAACCCACCAAGAGCAACACCATCAGCGACGGGGCTGGGCGCATCGCTTGGTGCTGTATGAATGAGAGGCCGAAGAAGATACACTGTAAGTTCTAAGAGCTTCTGACACGTCTTAGCACGGGCTGATGGTGTGCTGGCGAGGAAAGGAGCGTCACTGGTCTGTGCAGCAACCCAAAGCATGCTTGCCAAGAGCGCTGGTTGACACGGTCTCGGCCTCGTCTGGTCAAGGAAATATCGTTTTCGGAATACGAACCCCAAGACATAGGGTGACATCGGGTGCATCTGGGCCGATGAAGAGGACGCAAAGTATAAGTCGATTAAATCGCAAGCCAGCGGGATAGGGATAAGGTTGTTGAGATATGGCACCAATGGCTCGAGAACAGGATATCGCAACTTGGAGTTATTGAAGGCCGGAGCTGGGACCTGGGACTGGTATTGACCTGGCGGTGAAGCCATTGAGATGCCCCATCCAGGTGAAGTTCCCTTCCCCATCGAGTACCCAAGAGGGCTATTTCCCATCCTGAATGTGGGGTTATTGGCAAAGTTGGGAGGACTCTGGGCTTGCATCGAATATGGGAATTCTGCATAACCAGGCATGTTGCCTCGTCCGTTGGCCGCATATGACTGACCGTTGAGCACAGGACCTTCAAGACCCTGCGTCTCATAGCCGTGTGCCATACTTCCGAAGCCATTGAGATCCAGGCCGCCGTTATTTTCAATGTGTTCGCCATCCAGAGAGGAACGACCCATGTGTGGTTGCTCGCTTATGTTGCCAAGGGGGTCGAGGCCTTCCAGACCTTGAGTATGTCGCATCACATCGTCGCCGGGATCTCTGCTCGATTTGCTGCTTGTGCTCGGGTGTCGTTCATTAGATTGCTGCTCCAGTACCATATTCGACGAGTCGAGCCCCTTGTTTCCGGATTGGCCATTCTCAGATGTGGATTCATCAAGAGCCTGGCCATTGGCAGCCGCCGCCGCCTGAGCAGCAGCTTGCTGGGCCAGTTCCTTTCTCGAGGCCTTTCCTCTCTTCTTCCTTTCGCGGATGTACTCACACCCCAGGCCGAATTCTACAGAAGTCAGAAACACTCCGTTAATGTTTGACCTCAGTACCTACCAATGCAGTGTGCACAGGGGTGTTGGCCGTCGCATTTCGTGCGTAGTTGATTGCACTGATCGCAAGCTCGACTGATTCTTCTCCTGATGGGTCCTGAAGTGCTGGCGTTGCGCGGATGAATTCCATAAGGATGTTGTCGATTCTTTACTTGGGGACCCGACCTCTCCAGATGAGCGTTTGAGAGGGGGACGGCTTGCGAGAGTGGTTGAATCGGATATTGATGGCTCTGCCCGAGTGATTCCAGTCCTGTACCTGACATGGTGCCTTGCTGGACGTTTCCATCCGGTGAGATGTTGGAGGAGGTGATGTTCTGGTAAGGTGAAAAACGTTGAAGTGGATTAGACAACATGTTGCCGGTGCTCGCGCTCAACCGTAGACGCTGCGGAGGGTCTTGCGGCAGTAAGGGTATTGTGGGTTCGAGTATCCGTAGCTGGGATAGGATCGGAGAATGTTGTGAGCTATTCCCCTCTCTTGGAGAGACGGGGACAGCTTCACTGATAAACCTGGTCAGCTTGCCCTCCTGCAGGCAGAACTCAAATCAGTTTATGGGGAAGTGCTAGATGTAAGAGGTAGGTAAACAGGGGTTCGAGTCTGATGACGGCTGCAGGCGGGTTCCAGAGGCATCAAAACAGACCAAGATCAACGCGTATTGGTATTAGGGGGGCAAATTTGTCGGGGAGCGGGGACCGCTGAGTGATTGACAAAGGCATCTGACACCTTTGCATTATAGGTAGTGATGGACACAGGGTTTTGGGAGTAAGAGGGTTGTGAGAGTACATACATACGTCTTCCTGTATATATGAGGAGGGCAGGGTGTAAGAAATGGGCTGTCACTCGACAGGGAAAGTGAAGGGATTTGGGGAGATGAAAGAGACGGTTCAGGAGATGAGACAAAGTGAAGGCATACACTTACAGTACCCTGGTCGTTTGAGGTGTCTAGCTGCCGTCGTGAACTCTGGCTAAATAGCTTATTGCCAGATGCGTTGAGATTTGCGGCTGTGCTTAAACACAGCTCGACAAGATCTTGGTCTTTGATGCAATTGATTTTGTGATTCTTGTTTTAGAGAGGCAAGAGAAGAACGGAGTCTTCATGTCAAGATTGGTCACCTTATGGCTCGTTTTAAAGAGGCCCAAGTATAATCAAGTCATGTCAGATCAGAAGACTGACTGACAAGTGGATCCTCGAGGTTTGACGTTGAGTGAGTCGTGAGTGCTATAAAACTCAAAAACCCCCGGAGTCGAGAGCCAACTTTTGAGACGGAGAATTGGGACCACAAAAGATCAGGAGAAGGAGAAGCAACAGTTATGGATAGATTCGAATGCTCTTAACCAACGATGACAAGGACAATCTTTGATCAGACAGACGGTAACGAAAGAAGGGACGAGAGAAACGGGCGCTGTGTTTTTCTGGAGAACCCCAAGCCCAAGGCATGACCGCTCGTGACTGAAATGTCGGGCGGTACCCAGGAAAACCTGGGCATGGACGGGGCCTGTCGACAGAAACGGGGGAGTACTTTTTACTAGACCAGCATGCCCCAAGAAGCTGCCGCATGCCAAATGGTTCGCTTACTACTCCGTACGGAGAAGTGAGGATCTAGCCTTAGTTAGACTCCAAGCTTGGGAGCGAGGTCCCGCCGAAGGTGGGTTGATGAACAGATGTGGAGTGGTGTAAGAGGTGGAGGATCTTTTTGGTACCATGGGGTGCCTGGGTGCCACTCCTACCAACGAATTGCTTGTCCTTGTCGGTTGGATCTTCCGAGAAAGAAATAATTCTTTTAATTCATGTCTGTACACACTGTCATGTCACAGTCGCAGTCAATCTGGGGTGTCATCATGCTCATGTTCGAGACGTGTTCTTTTCCTTTCTTTTCCTGTCACCAGCCGGCTTCGAAACTAGCCGTGCGTGTCCTGCTTGTCACGTCTCGTCTCGTCTCGTCTTAGTCTTGGTCTTGGTCTTGGGTCTTTCTTAAACCCGCCACAGCAAATCGACATTAACCGTGAACCTGGGGAAATTGACAACAACAGTTCGTCCGCCTGGGGTCGAGATGCAAATGATGCAAAAAGGTGGCAGCCATCTCCAGGATCTCCATCTTATTTATCCAGACAACAACTGGACAGGGTATGGTCGAGAGGCCACTGTCGGTAGCTTCCTCATATGATTGCTACCCATCTAGGAAAAGAGCTGTAGCACGCCCAAGGTCCTGAACCATGTGCTGACGTCTGAGAGAACCGTTCATTGCCTACGCTGGAAACAATGATGTTATTGACTGAGCTTGTCATGCTTGTCTATTGTTCTAATGGTTGTCCCTGTAGGGGAAAGCCCAGGGTCGTTGGATCTAGTGGCGTCCAGCGCGTGGCCGCCCATCTGAGGCTCTCAGACACTGACACACTTACACAGACCTGACAAAGCCGGGCCTAACTTTAGGTTAGCCGAGGCTTGACGTCGAAAATTCTCTCGGCGGGGGGAAGGGGAAGGGGAAGGGAGACGGCAGAGTAGAACGGCATTGTAGAACATGAAAGTGCCAAGTGCTCTGCTCGTAAGACGGACGAAGGATGATGAAGGATCTTCGGGCTTCGTTCCCAGGGCCTACGATCCGTTCCGCAAGGTGCTAGAGGCGTCAGGGTATCTACACTACAGCGTGTGCTGTATGTGTATGTGTATGTGTGTGTATGCGTACATATGAACATATCATGGACTTGCACTGCATCTGCATCCACAAAGTGGATTGAAGCAGGGCGCAGGGTAGGACAGGGCAGGGCAGAGCAGGACAGGGAACGGGAACGGGAGGGAGGTGTGGATGAAGAATGCTTGGGACTTTCCTATTGCTCTCAGTTCCCCGGATTTTCATGGTCGAGACAATTGACTTTATCCCCTTGTTCCGATGTTCTTTTTCTCGCTGAGATTCGAGCTTGAACGTCGATGAGCCAATGTGCTACGTGAACTGAACCCCAGGTGATGAATTGACTATGCGCCTTCCTTAACGGTTATTAGTGCACTGGGAGGGGGACCTTGGGGGACTCTTTGAAGTTTGGGGCTCTAGCTTTTTTACACATTCTTCCCCCAATCTCTGAGATCGAGGACAACCAGGGGGGGCCAATTAGCTTTAGGTTCGGCTCATCTCCAAGAGCTTAACTTGGATGCTGTTAACCCCCAAACGGGAATTATTCGCGAGCTTGTGTTTCGATTTATTAATTTCTCTCATATCCGATCCTGAGAATTTCCACTTCCAAGTTTGAAGTCACAGCTTTGACGTCTTCCTGTCAAACTCTTCACATCTCCTCTCTTACCAATTCTTGTGTAACCTCTGTTGCTGGACTATATCATCGGTAGCCTGTAGTTAACCCGGCATTTGCGCCCGCATTCGCGCACCAATCAAATCATCGAGAGCCCTGTCAGAGCCTGCACCGGAAGGGCGGATTAGACTCAGTGGAATGTATGTATGTACTGTATATGCAATGCCAGGCTCCAGCATAAGTCCAAGCAGCCATAGGCGATTCAATCACTCCAAGCAGCATTTGAACCGCATGCCAGGCCAGGGTCTTGGCCACGAGTCGGATGGATACCTACCTACCTACTGTCCAGTACATCCATCCATCGTGATCTTCCCCCCAACTCTGTATCATACCGTACCTTACCTCCGTACTTGCTGACCTATTGTTCCTACGTTCCTTCACAGCTCCTACGCTGTAAACTAACTCACTTTCCAGAAAGCCAATCTCGCCAATCGCTGCCTCCCCCTCATGACGTCCACCTAGCCACCACCGGAATGTCTTGCTTGTGGCGCCGAGGGTCCAACGGCCTTCCGGGCCGATTTCCCCACACTCGTCCCATCCACATACACCCCTGCTATGTACCTCCTCTGCTTTATGTATTCTGCACTCTCCCCGGTCAAAGGGCTCCATGAACTGACCCTTCAGTTCGTCTTGACACCATCTTCAACCAGAGACTCGCACTGCTGTGTGTGCTTTATCGTCCCTTGTTCCCGGATACCACGTGGCTCCCTCTTACACAACCTCCTACGTCGCCGTCGATGCCTGAGTTTTTGAACCATCTTTGTGATGTGACAGCCCCTCCACCTCGTTTTCGGCGGTATAGCAGTGTCTTTATGACCACTTTATCTGTAACCGCCTGAATCTCAGGTCGGCAAATGCGGTCTGTGAGCCTAGCTGAATTACGGAGAGCTGAGCCGGACATTTTATTATTCAGTCGTAATAATATAGCCAAAGCTTACCGTCTAGGAGAGAGATCCCGACTTGAAAGTTGTCACACCGCATTATCGCCAGTCGTGTAATACAATACGAATCCGCAAGTCTACACCTAATCCATCAATTAATTCATGCTTCTGGTTTTGGCTAGTATTCTTTTGACGACCAACTCCGACCCCCTTCTAGTAACTGAAAATTCTTCATCCAAGTCGTGACTATTAAAAACAAATGCAGCCATATTTACAGTATCGTAGCGGGAATTCTCAGCCCCTTAATCTAAGCCTGGAAGCCACCCACCACGGGATAATGAAGCTCCTAACCCATCAAGCGCTGCTATCTGGTCATTTGTATCGGCTTGCAAGTTGCCGTTACCTTCCGTGCTGCTGTTGGGGGTATCCTGATTGTTGCTGTCACCAAACATGAACACAGAGGTGTCCTGTCCGTTGTTGGCCATCTGCCAGGCCTCAAAACTCTGGTGCCACCTTGCGCTGTCGTTCAAGAACCATTCTTGCCCGTCCATCCTCATAGACCGGTTGGATGTTGGAGGATTGCTAACAGGCGGGACACTTGTGCCGGCGTTTGCCATGCTGTTGCGGTTGATGGGTGCAAATGCCTGCTGATAAGATGGCATCGATGATGTAACAGGCACAGACCCCCATCCACCCATAGGTTCGGGTCCAAATCCTGCGTTGGACCTGTTCAAAGAAATCCCCTGTTGTTGAGAAAGGATGCTGTTTGACACCGGGGCGCTTGTCAGCATGGCGTCTGTTACAGATCTTTGAGGTTGGTGCTGCGGCTGTTGCTGTTGAAGCTGTTGCATCGGTCGAGCCAATTGGGCTCGATTATACGGGGGAAAGGGGCTGTATTCACCCATGGCCTTCATCCCTAGACCACCATCAGAAAGGGGTGAAGCTCCTGCCTGCGAATGAGGTGACGGGACATCAGAGGTGCTGTATGTTCCGTATTTTTCGTCGGCCCGATGAAGCACGAATGCTGCATCCTCAGGGAGTTCGCAATTCCACTTCCGGGCGAGAACGCTCAGGATACTCAAGGTTCTTCTCGCGCAGAGCCAGTCTTCCGCAATTTCTTCGAGGTGTTTTACCCCATGAGTGATATCCCGACGAGCAGTTTTCTCGGGAAGAT